GGGGAGGCTGACTTTGAGACAACGCGTACGACTCCCCGGCAACTTACGCGTATGAGCTCCTTTGCAAAAAACGGTATCGCCGCCATGCTTCTAGGACTCTTTGCTACATATTCAGACTGCCAACTGGTGGTTGAGCACATCAAAGTATGATCGCTCGCTAGTTCGGCACATCGCATCCGGGACTTGTCGGTCCCTTGACCTCACGAAGTCGCGCTTGGCTTGCACCAGAGCCGAACTTCAACTACGGAAGATTGGTAACCGTTCAGTTGGGCCCGCTTTGCACCTCGCCGTGCTCGCTTGACTCTCATCCGGACCATGCGTAGTCCCGCGGAGCTGAAGCTCCTGAGGCGGAGGAGCGAATCCGGAGCACCAGCTCGAAAAAAACGCATTGTCATTGGCCAAGTTCTGAGACCACTGTTAGAGCAAGCAATAATGATCGACAACGTAGTTTGAGCCTCTGCCAGATGATCGACGTGGTAAACACCATGGAAAGTTACCCTGCGATTGCAACTTCCCCTTTGTGGCATGCCCATCGCTGCCATCGTGTCAAGTGGCCTGACGACAGAGGCTCGAGGTCAAGCTGCGATTCAGCAAACTGACGATCTGCAAGATCGCGAAACCGAGGCAGAAGATCGTTAGTGTGGAGATACGAGCAATATAAAAACTATAGAGCACCCGGATCGTATACTTCAATCTTCAGCCGCTTCTATACATCATTCACTCACTTGCTTTTCCAAACCGTTACTTAATCAACTAATTCAAATCAAACACCATCAAACCAAACACCACTTCAATCAACAAGATGCGTTCCACAAGCTTCTTCACATTCGCTCTGTGCGCTCTCTCTGCCACAGTCCTGGCAGCACCTGTCCCCCAGATTGACAACATCATTGGCTCTGTCACCAACCCGGGCGCCGGTAACGACAACCAGTTTACCAACAACGGTAGCGGTAACGGCAACGGCAATGGCAACAACAACGAGGCTGGCAACGGCAACGGTAATGACAACGAGGCCGGAAGCGGGAATGAGGCTGGCAACAGCAACACATTCACCTTTGCCAAGACGCCCTCGCTCGACTCAATCAAGGACATCCTGAAGAAGCGTGAGGCCGGTCTTCTCGACCCCGCTGAGGGCATGCTGAGCGGCGTCACAAACACTGTTGGCTCAGTCACCGACCCCACTGCTGGCTCAGGAAACACTTTCGAAGGCAATGGCAACGACAACGGCAATGACAACGGAAACGGAAACTCTGCAGGCGTAAGTGACTAATGTTTAGATACCTGCGAATGAGGGTTAACTCGATAACAGAACGACAACGGCAATGGCAACTCGGCCGGAAACAACAACTCCGCAGGAAACGGAAACACATTCACGGTAGGCCCCTTGTTGCCTGACATCGACGTCAGCCCTACTATCAAGTAGGTCTGAACTAGAACGCAAATTGTATGAACAGCAGCTAACGCTCACTGCAGTTTGGCGAGAAATAAGCTTGTGTAGAAGGGCGACGAAAGAAGTGTTAATTTTAATCGCTAATGTTTGGCGCTGGTTGCGCGGACTGTCTTTGAGGATTTCTTATGTCCAATAACAACGAGCGAATGTGTGAGACACAGCTCTTAGTCGCGATTCGATTCATTGTCCATATTCCAATCATGGAAATTGAAGAAAAGTTATATTGACTTTGATGCACTTGCGAATATGTGATTATCTGCCCGTGCACAAGGTCACGTGAGGTGAGTAGTGGTGAACGATTACTGCTGAGCCCTGGTCCGGGGCTGTTTCGCGTGTCCCATATCCTTCAAATACATAACTGCAATGCTTCCCTAATTCGATGAGATGAGACTAATGTTCTGGTGTTGGTTATTGGGTTGTTCGATGTTGAAGCGTAGTCAGATGAACACGCGTCAACTGGTGTCACATGCAAGAGCCAAGCATGAGGAGATAGCCCGTGCTTGAGGTGTACTTACCCCTACGGTCCTCCTAGATAGCTCCCTAGAACTACTACTATATGATTCATTCACCCAATACGTTACAACTGGGCTGGGTCGCGAACGTGCACTTCCCCACGTCCTGCGCCCCGACACTCCCTACTTTCTCGTCCACCAATCTGCACAACAGCCAAGCCATCCATAGCGGCATTAGATTCTGGATCAAACACTCGCTTGAGATTCATTACTGGATGATACGAGACCAACTTGACGCCAGTTGATGGCAAGTCCCACGACACGGCGGAAGTTTCTCAGACCACGCAATTCCAACATCATATCCACATCATCATCGCAGACTCCAATGAGAGAAATAGTTGTTCATGGCTCAATTTGGCCGAACTTGACCGCCGCTATGGCACCTACCGTCCATCTCTCTTCTTAATGTTTCGCCGAGGAAAAGCTTGATCATCCGAAACTCACCGAGATACATGCAAGAGGTGCATCCATGCTCCTTTGTCTAAGGCACTTCGGCTTACTACAGATTTTCATTGTCTGAAGCGTTCGCTTCCCTATGTATATTGAGAACGGGCTTCGAGTCCTCGATCCTCGAGCGACTGATTCTCCACATCCTGGCCTCTACCCGTACCGGATCCTATCCTCGCATCAACCAGGCTACATATATCACCAGAGCAAGCACGACGCCAGCAGTGATATATTGCACTCCGGCCCTATGACACTGGTACAGTATATTCACCCTCTACAGACGCATCGCAAGCGCGCCTGCATCCTTCGAAATGTCTATCCTCGCTGTAGCTGGCTTTTCTGGTTTTGCTGCTCGCTGCACGGAATCCGTCTTCAAGGTTGGATTCGTGCCCTGTGTCGTTAGCTCTTTTGACTTCGTCTTCGTGGCCCGCTTCTTGTCCTTCCTCTTCTGTTGCACCGAACTTGGTCCCGTCTCGGCGGTCTGCTCAAATCCTAACGTCTGATGGGGCTGAACTTTGCGCAATAGCCGAACCCCTTGGTCGCCCGCGAAATCCGTCCAGTTCAGGCGCTGACCCAACAGCTCCAGCTGTAGCCCCTCAGCTTGCTGTATCAAGAAGCGATGTCCATACAGCCTAATCCTGCGCCAGGCCACCTTCGTGAACCAAGCTCGGACGACGTGAGTGCTCATAATCGTTGTAACGACAGGGTAATAAGCGCCCTTATTATCGTCGCCAAGATACATAGAGGGGTGACCGTTCCACTGGTAGTTTCTCAATGCCCAGATTGGAAAGTGGTCTGGCCGATGACAGGACTGCTCGCCACTTGCACAGCGTTCGCAGGTGCCAGAACTAACAGACTCGAACTCCTCGCCCCACAACCATTTCGTGTAGCAGAATCCTAATTCATGGAGAGTGTCGTCGAGACAAAATCGAGGCTCCAAACTCAAAATGCGACCTTGTGAATCTCTCCTCATTTTGAGCTCTTCTGGCAACGTGAGCGACGCACAAGCGTGCATGCTTTCATGCGTCAGAGTCCAGGCAAAGATCAACAATGTATTCAGCTGGTATGCAGGCCGATCTTGCGACATCTGAGCCTCAAGATATTCCAACCATTGTGGTCGGGCCAGGCGTACTGTGATTGAGCCTTGGTTGATGTGACGAACTATCTTCTGACCGCCAATCGTTGTCAACTCAACGGGGACCCGAGTGGCTGGGTAAGTCGTACTATCAAATTTACAGTTTCCTTTCAACGTAGCGACCTCCTCAAACCGAGAAGAAGTATGCTCAGCCATGTATAGGAAGACCTGCTCGATGTACTCTAGACCGGTAGGTGTACCTTCGAAGGTCCCTGGCGCGATGTAGTGGTCACCGTTCTTGTCAAAAGTAACCTCACCATTGCAGACATGATCGAACGGATGAAGCATGGCTGGCTCGGTGATGAGTAGAGACACAAGACGTAGAGCAGGGGCAATGGCATCATACGCCTTTGCTGACAAGGGTTGATGGTCTGCAGTGGCAGAAGGCGCGTTGACAGTCGCTTGGACCGACGTCGAGCCAGGTTTTCGGTTCTCTTTCGTGACTACGGTCCATCGCTTTTGGTCTTCCTTCGGGTGTACGGTCCAGTTCTCCAGCTTGAACAGAGGATGGATTGGGTTATCTAGATCTCCAAGGGGTGCATTGAAGATGTCCTTACCAGCGGCGTTCTCGAGGAACTTGTCGAGAGCTTCTCGCTGCGTTCGGCGAGGTTTTGGCATAACGGACCGGCGGCAGCACGCGGTTGTGGTTGAGCTAGACTGTGATATGCAGTAGTTTGAGGAGCAAAATTTCGCCAGGAGCCAGAAGAACTAGAGGCGAGGGCCCCCTGTGGCCTAACCTCACGCTTTCACTGCGAGTAAAACGTCCAGTGGGTTTTTCAGTGAGCACTACTATAAATATACTTTCCTTGCCTCCAGCCTAGTCACGTTCTCCCAATCTCAAAATGTCAAAGCATCATAAAACTGGCGGTTCCCGTAGAGCCAGCCACCTTGCAACAAGGGATAGCTGAGATTCAGTAGGCCAGCTCCACATCTTTGAGGACTGGGGACATTTGCACCTAATGCTCCGACATGACTTTGGGAGACAAGTCAAGGAGTTGAGGAAGTCTAGATCATTGGGAATCATCGTCAAATCTTAGTTCATATCTTCCAGGCTGCCACGGTGAAAAGTCAATTGACTGGTGATTATGAAGGAGCTTATTGGAGCATAAGACGTGACGTAGGAAGTCGTATTGCAGTCTGCATGGAGGTAAAAGTAGTAGCCAGGAGTCTGTTCTTACGATGACCACGAGAGGGACTTATGATAATGTATGTGAGGCAAAAGCAGGATTGGATGCAGGGCGATTCAAAAGACGGACTCGCGTTTTACCAGAACAGCTGGGCGGTTCCGTGTTTGACCACATATTGTTGGAATGGGGTGATTTGGCTCAGGCAAAGTCAAACATCGCATTGACCTATTCATACTTTGACACGCCCCGACAGATACACAGCAGCCTCTCCAGCTTGAAAAGGTTCTTAGAAAATTAGACCAGACAGGACACGTAAAAAGAAACTTGGTTGGACACGGCAGGATTCAAACTCGCGTCTCCCCGTCGGGCGGACCCGAAAGTAGTGGCGAGTGAAACCGAGATGGGGCGTCTTACCAATTAGACCACATGCCCTTGTGATGGGTGTCTCGCGATTTGACTCACTTACATACTTCCGGCCTATGTGAGCATTTGATCCAGGAATGCTTAGAGGTGAAGACATGTGAAGTGAAGGTGCGATGGGATTTGGGGTTGAGTCCTGAGTGCATGCTAGCAGTTCAGGCAGTTCCCCATGGCCGCCGCCCTCGGATGGCGGCCCTTCGACGATTTAAATGTGTCCTGCCTTTGGTAAACGCGAATTGCCAGTCTACCGTCGCACCACAGGGCGCGGAAACAGTCTATATGACGGACTTCTTCTTCAGTTTATGCATTTTTCTCGTGTAGCATTTACAACGCGCCCAGCTCTTTCAACTTGCTAATCATGCCGTCTACATCCTCGACCTTGACACCTCCCTTCCGCGCCGGTGGCTCTGTGACCTTGACCGTCTTCAATCTCAACTCTGTGTCTAGCCCATAATCACTCAATGTCTTCTTGTCTAACTTCTTCTTCTTCGCCTTCATAATGTTTGGCAAACTCGCGTATCTTGGTTCGTTCAACCGCAGGTCCGTAGTGATGATCATGGGTAGTTTGGCCTTGAGTGTCTCGACGCCGCCGTCGACTTCGCGGATGACCTCGACGGTGTGGTCGTTGAATGTGATCTTCGAGGCTTGCGTGGCCTGTGGCCAGTTCAGCAGGCCAGCGAGCATTTGGCCTGTTTGGCCGGCGTCATCGTCGATGGATTGTTTGCCGAGTATAACCAAATTGCTCTTATTCTCATCCACGACCTTCTTGAGCAGCTTAGCGACACCCAAGGGCTCTAACGCATCCTTCTCCTCCACCACAACGTGTAGACCGCGGTCTGCGCCCATGGCCATTGCCGTCCGCAGGATGTCCTGCGACTTGGGTGGACCGGCGGAAAAAGCAACAATCTCCTCTACTTTCGGCGCAGACTTGTGGTGGTTCTTTTGTTCGCGGATACGCACGGATTCTTCGATGGAGAGCTCGTCGAAGGGGTTCATGGAGTGTTTTACGTTGGCGGTCTCGACGGCGGTTTGGGCGCGGTTGACGCGGGGTTTGACCTGGTGGGCGTGTCAGTATACGCTCCCGCTACAATTGAAGCTGGAAAGACGTGGTTGTGGAGCGTTCATTGCAGGCAAAAGCTCAATGACATCCTCGACTCCAGATACATTTCGAATGTTCAATTGTGCAAAGGTTGATACTTACCGCATAGTCAATGACCCGCTTCACGGGTACCAATATCCTCAAACTCGACATTGTGTGCTGTGCTCTTTAACTCCCTCCTACTGTGTCGAAATGGCGAGGACTGAATGTTGGATTGGAGGCAAGGGTGGGGTGGATAGCATCGGAGCTTCGTCGTTCAAGAGTTAGCCGAGGCGTTTCCGCCGCGGCGAGCACGGGCTTGGCGGGGAATGACATCTGAAGTCGCCGTCGCCCACAGCTTCACACCTCTCACGGACGTTGCGCTTCGAGAAAACCACAAAATTCATTGCTTGTAGTGTTTGATGCTTTTGACGAGTAATGGCCTGCAACGCGGGTGCTTTGTAAGCCGCTTGCAGGTGGCAGGTAGGTAAGCAGAAGTTTAGGAAATCGCGCATGGGTGTGTGTGGAAACCTTTCCTTCTGCATTGTATGCTCCTTCTTCCTCCATTCTATTCTTGTTCTCGGCCGATCTCAATCCCCGTCACTCTTCAAACTAGACCGCCCAAAAATTCGTCGTTGAAGAACGCTGGTACTGCTCTCAGCACAACCATTCGAGCGCCTTAATACCAGCACACTCCCTTCTGTATCTTGGTCACATCAACAACATGCCGAATTTGCTCGCTATCTCGCTCGAAGGCTTCTCTGCATCGTCTCGGCAGGTGTACCCGCAGCTCTTCCCCAAGATTCTGTCACGTACTGCAGTACACGAGTCTATCACAATCGACGATGCGCTCAATTACATTGGCACAGGCTGGCCCAATGTCATCCTAGTCTCAGACCCAGCAATCACCAGTGAAGAGAACAAGGACCTCCTAAACGCGACTATCGAATGGATCAAACATGGTGGCACAGTAGTCTTCATGGGTTTCTTCGCATCGACCGTTCAGTATGACGAATTGGACAAGATGTTCAAAGAAGACTTCGGACTGAAGTGGAGAGTCACGGAATACACGTCGCATGATGTACGACTTCACCACACCGTTGACGAGAATATGCTGCGAAGAGCCAGTCTTGTTCGCGAATTTCAAGCCAAAGCTCTCTTCCTTGGACATGTCCCTTCGAATGACATCGTATATGCTGGAGGACCCAAGAACATGGCATATGCTGCTTTTACAAGACTTGGACTAGGAAAGCTGGGATACATTGGAGACGTCAACTTTGGAGAAGAGCCAGAACGTCTGATCTTGGCAATGTGCCATTTGGATCGACCCGAGGATTCCCTCCAAGCGATGAGTGAGCTCTGAACGAAATGCAATACTACCATGACGTTCGACCCGGTAAGTTGTGTTGATAACAGCTTTCGTGGGAATAGAGCGATCTCGGAGATAGGCACAACTACCCCGCTGCGGCAAATGATATCGAGCTCCTGCCACATTCAGCATCAAGATAGCGGTTGTGTGTGCTCTTAGTCTCGGCAGAGAGTAACAATCGATCCTGAGCTACTATAAACCAACCTCGCCCGTCGGTCGAGCCTCAACCCACCACCCACACGACACAAGTCTGAACACATCCTGAGACTGTTACAATGTCAACGCCAAACGCCAATAAAGCGACCCACAAGGCCGTAACTGGCTCGCCGTCGAACTTCTGGCTCCATTCCTCACAAACAGGCTTCGACCTTACTCACCCATCATCCCCTTCCAAGCCCGATTCGAGTCCAAAAGTCACCATTCAAACCACCAAAACGCCCATCACCATATCGACTTCGCAATCAGCACTTGTAATCATCGACATGCAAAACTTCTTCCTCTCCGAAGCATTTGGTAAAAGCAAAGGTCCCGGCCACGCAGCTTGCGACCAACTAGTCCGCAACGCCATCCCAGCCGCCCGCAAAGCCGGCATCAGAATAATCTGGCTAAACTGGGGTCTGAGCGATCAAGACATCAAAGATCTCCCACCCGCCGTCAAGCGTGCATTCGGCTTCTACACCAGCCCTTCCGGCTCTGGTGCCTTCGACGAGGAAGATGGCAGTATCAGTTTAGATAAGCACGGCCATCCGAAAAAGGACGAAGGCGCACACAAGGGCCTGGGAACCGATTGCGGCACTCTGGACCTGAACGGGAAGAAAATACAAGCAGGACGTCTCCTCATGCGCGATACCTGGAATGCTGCATTGTACCCGCCCCTCGACGCCATGTACTCCGAGGGCGCGCAACTCGCACACAATCCTGATGTCTGGATCCACAAGGACCGCATGAGCGGCATGTGGGGCGCGAAGACGGCGTGCGAGGAGTTTTTGGAAAAGGAGGGGATTAGGACGTTGTTGTTTGCGGGTGTGAACACGGATCAGTGTGTTGGAGGGACGCTGACGGATGCGTTTAGCAAAGGGTATGATTGCGTGCTATTGAGCGATGGATGTGGCACTAGTAGTCCTGACTATGCGCAGAGGGCGTGGGAGTTCAATGCAAGTAATACGTTTGGGTTTGGTACGAGTTGTGAGCAGTTTGTCGAGGGTGTGGAGGGGATGGGGAAGGAGAAAGTAGAGATGGATATGTAATTTGGATATGGCAATATTGCCATTGAGTTCCATGTCCTCTTTATTATTTCGATCCATCACTTCAGTATCCTGTTGGTATTGTGATCATCGCCTCCCCGGCCTCTTCGGCTTCGCAAACCCCTCCTTCTTAACCACCTGCTCCTCCCTAAACTCGTCCCTGATAACTTGCTCGCTAACCTCGTCCGGATTCGTCGCCTCCAGTTTCTTCGCAATCTTGAGCCCGCCCTCGTTCTGCGCTAGACTAACCACATTCCCACGACTCGCCGCATACAACATGCGCTCCCTGATCTTCGCGCCGCTCGGACACGTCGATATGAAGACTATCGACGCGGCAGGGTCGTCGTGGCGATAAAATGCGTACCGCGGCTCTTTCGTGTCGAGTTGGGAGGATAGCGTGGATGGTGTAGCGCTGGAGGAGGATACGCGTTGTAACGTCTCCGTCGCACCGTCCATACGCAACTGCACGAGATTATCTCCGCCTTGTCCAAGCGCTTGTAACGCAGCTGCGACATCCCCATCCGCTCTTATCGCAATCCGTCCGCCCTGCGCAAGCCCCTGCCCTCTCGTGCCCCTGCTCTCCAGCGCCTCAGCCTCCTTGATATCTTGCAGACTCTGTTCCTCGGCAGTCAGCGGGTTCGACTCTGCTTCGTGCGCGAGGTGTTTGTCCCATCCTTGGCCTGTCAATTCGGCAGCTTCGGTTGTGAAGACACTGTCCGGGAAATGTTCGCCGCCGAGTTCCCTTACAAGCGTTAGGCGTGTCGATGCGAAGAGCATCTTCTGCCGCACGGGCGCGGCGTTCGGGACATATGTGACTGCGACGAGCGACTTGTCAGGCGAGCTGAGGCTGTCTGCGCGGCGCAGCAGGATGTATAGGGCGGCATTGGGCGAGATGTGGGATTCGAGGTTGGACAGGTCGGATTGGAAGGATGCGGAGGAGGATGGGATTGAGGCGCCAGGAACGATGGTTTCGTTTTGGATGGTGGCTAGGAGACCACGTTGGGTGGTGGAGGTGATTAGGCTGCCGAGGGCGGATTTGAGCTCCTGGGAAGCTGTTCAGAGGTGAGTAGACTGACTAGAGCGGTATGTCGTGAGGAGCGCACCAGAGATGCCAGACTGCATTATGCGACCGATCTGAGTTAAAAGACGCTGATCTGCGAAACGGTGTCTGTTGGAGGGTATAGAAGTGTGGCGGTGTAAGTAGGGAAGAAATTAGAGTAAAGCTTGGTCAATGTTTACGCTGACAACGAGCACGAGGGGTGATGTTGTGGCTGGTGGGGCAAGTGGGCTTGCAGCCAGCTTGGCGGACCCTGTCTTTTAT